AGAATTATGCAATGATAGTAAACTAAGACTAAAAATATGGAACATCCATATATATTAAAAATTTATCAATTTATAATTACTAAATGACTATCTTTTTTCAGAGAATTAAAAATAAATTAGACTACATAAGTTAAGAAATCAATTCATCCATCTGTTAACTCATAAGGGGTTGGGTTTGCAAATTTTAATATCATTTTTACTAGTTGAAACCATATATCTTTCCTGTTTCATTAAATACAATTGCATTACATTCGAATATTGTTTAATAAAATTATATATAAATTATAATTTACTGGACTTAATTATTATTTTTATTAAAGTATTAAATTATTAGTGACTTAATTTTTCTACTGGGTTGTTTTTTTGTTATTTCTTTATTATTAACAAAACTAATTTTAAAGATATATATTGATATTATTTATGATTTAACCAAAACATCAAAAAGATAGATTTCAAACTACCTAATCACCATAAATAGTTCTTTCACATTTGTTCTTATATTACATATTTTTTCTATTGATAAGTTAAATATTTTAAACTTTTTTTAGTTAACTTTCTATTTAATTATTTGAATATGTTCATTTATTAAAAGTTGATATAAATTTTAAACTTGTGAAAATTTATCCAAACATCATTTGAAAAAAAAAGAAATAAAATATATCAAATCAATAAAAATAAGTTTTTCAATTAATGAATTTAATTTTCTACAGTGCTTTATTTATTAATTTATATTATCCATTTTACTCTGAGTTATTCTTTTTTTTAATTTGTTATCTGTAAAAAATCTGGCTGAATTTCCATCAAAAAATGAATTTATTTAACCATTTTATCTTTATTCATTTCTATTTTACTTAACAAATAATTAATTAAGTTATGGTAGAACATAAAAGAGACTGCTCGTTTATTAAAATATTAAATAGTATTTTCGATTATTTGTTGAAGTTAAACTTTTTCTTCTTCAGTATATATTTGTAGTGGTACTTATAATGGAAGGATATCTGGGACTAAGTTTAAATCAAATGTAGGATGATAAATTTTGAATTTAATTGATTGTTCTTTAAAATCCTATTAGTTTATAATATGGAGGTAATTTTCATGAACAGTTTGCACTAACTTATCTAAAATATTTCTGACTCTTGTTATTCTACTTTCAAAGACAGAAGGTAACTAATGAACAAACGGTTTAAATGAAGGTAAATTTTGAATTAGAACATCTTTAGGAACAATTTAAACAGATTTTTCTGCAATTTTAATTTAATAAAGCTCTATATCAAGTTTTAATAATTATCTAATTTATAAGATCCTGAAAGCATTAGTTTTAAATTCATAAGTGATAGGTTTTTATTTCTTCCAATAAGTAATCTCGATAGTTCTCATGGTTTTTAATAATTATTCAAATTTAAGTGGTAAAGGAAATTTATCTTAAATTAATCCAAACCTTTATCTAAGGCTTCTAAAGTTGATAGTTTAATAAGGAGGTTACTTAATTTGGGTGTATTTCATTCCTAAGATCTCACTTAGATGTCTAGTGGATTCCTCCTTCCCTTAGGATTAATTGTTTTACTAAGTTTTTATTAGTTTGTTGCTATTCATTTGATTTATATTAATTATTAGGATCAGAAATCCCAATCTGAATCTATAAAACCATAGAATTAATAGAACAAAAATTGAAAGGCGAAAGAAAAATATTATATACAAAATGTTTATTTTAATAAATCTTTTATTTATTTATTTTTAAATTTCATAAAAATGCTGGGAAAATAAATAAAAAACATGTCTCATTAATTATGATTCCAAGCTCTTTCAAATTCGAATTTATCTCCCAGAATACCTGATATTATAGGTCTGTATATTAACCAAAAATCATTCCGCTTACCAATCTAAAATAATAGCAAATATTTGGATTGGATAGTGAAATAATAAGAATTCATTTAAGACTGTTAAAGAAAAAACATCAGCAGGACCACCAAAAGCTCCTGATAAAAATTAAACTTTGCTGCTATTACTCCTCAAAATGATTCTTATCCAATTATTTATTTTCAGTTTGATTTATTAGAATGGACATACAAGTTTGCAACATTAGGCAACAATTTTAACACTGAACTTAATTAATCTAAAATGCACTTTTTACTTTAAAATTGAAAAGATACCTAATGATTAAGAAACTGGGTATTTTAATGTCAATTTTCGAACAACTTCAATTAGAGATATAGAATTATAAAATGACTCAATTTAAATTACTCCTATTGATTTTGACAGTTCTTATTGAATCGATAAAATTCAATAGTATGTGAATAAATTCTAAAGCTAGTTCAAAAAAAAAGAAAGATAATGAAGAATGATGTTAAAAACATAGATCAATAGGATTTCAATTTAATTTCTCTTTTTCTTAAAACTAGAATTCAAAGTAAAAAAATTTTTTGAGCTAAAATCCTAAGATATTTTAATTTGATTTTATTAGCTTAGATATATAACAACCAAAAATTTTCTCATGAAGCTTTCAATTAAATTCAATTCTCTTTGTATATTTTAATTCCAAATCTCTTAGCTATAATTTTTTCACTTGGGATTAATCCATAATTAAAAAAAAGAATCATTTAAAATCATGAATTTTCCCTATTTTACAAATCTTTTTATTTAGGTATTTCATCTATACTAATCCTAACCTCAAACTAAATTTACATTTTTATAAAATGCTTACGTCCTATTAATAAATCTTTTAAACTCATTAAAATTCAATTAACCATTCTTATTTAATTGAATTATCCTCTCTACTATCTGGAATCTTTCTAAGATTTACAAAAATTAATTTACCCAACTCATATCCTTGAAGTTCTATTAATCGCCTTTTAAATTCTTTCTTAGTCATTCAATTCAGGAATCTCATTTGTTACTAATACTTTTTCTTCTTCACATATTCTTATATTCTAATTACAAATTATTCAAAATATCATCATGCATGTATTGAAAATTATGGAGAAGGAAAAAAATATATTTGATGAATGGATAATTCATTATAAGATGATGGTATTGTAGAATTCATAGTTGATTAAATTCGAGAATTAAGATTATCTATTCCAGTTGTCCTGATTAAATTAAAATTGAAAGTATTAATAGTTGTCAATTATTATTAATAATTGTTTTTACTAATTGATTCTTTTTATTTGATATTCTCCATTTATTCATTTACTTATAATAAACTATTTTATTACTCTCTCAAAAAATAATTTTGTTGTCTTTGTAATATCGCACTATACAGATTGATCTTTTATATCTTTTAGATCATTCTATTTTATATTTTATTACTTTTTTTCTCTGATTTAATTAAACTCTATCTATTCATATTGATAATTGATGATGACTTTCGTTTTGAAAAGAAATAATGTGTTTTTAACTTATATATTCACTAACTCAGAAATATTCATTTATTTGTTAATTATGCAAAAAAAGTCTAACTTTATTTTATTATAAATAGCAGTAGACATATATCTACTGCTTGTTATCTATTGTTAACATGAAAACTATTTTGTTGGTACTTTCACTTTTTATAGTAGGATTATCATTACTAGCATAATTTAAAATGAAATCTAATGTAAATTCCTGCTTATATTACTTTAATGAAGTTTATAATCTAATTTTTTCATAAATGATTATGATTCATATTATTATTTTCAAAAATATCATTCTCCAATCGATTATTTTCTTCAATATCTTTAATTAAATTTGGCAATTCTTGAATTAAAGAACTTGCCTTCTATTCTAATAAAAATTGCTTTTCATTATTTTTATTATTCCTATCCAAAACATTTATAAATCTGGCTAGTAATTCAATTTAATATTTCTTTTTCTAAATATAAAAAGTTTCTTTAGAAATTAAATATATTTATCATTTGGATGATTATTATTGAAATTAATTTTGACTGGCCATTCTAATATATTCTTACTACATTTATAATTATTTTATCCTTGATACAAGATGAGACATCTCCTTTGACAAGTTTAGAATATTCTCTTACAATATTATCTATTTTTTTGAAACTTATGTCTGCATCTTTTGATACTCATATCCTTTTATACATTAAAAAGTTTAATTTTATTTATGCAGATTCTAATTTATGTTTTATAATCATACTGATATGTTTAGAACATCTACAATCTATTTATTGTTGTTTGGTTTTTTCTTTAGTTATGCTTTCATATCGTTCATACATTTTTATTCTTTTATTTTACTTAATGTTTCTATTAATAACAATGAATAATAGCAATTTATTATTGGATAAAAATAATTTTTGATAATAGAAATTAAACAGCATGATCATAATTTAGATCTTCGATTAATTTTAATATCGATTCCAAAGGAATTTGTTTATAATTTTTCATTTTTTATGATGATCACAACTAATCAAAGATAACAACACATCATAATTAGAGTGAATTAATAAAATCAGGTATTTTAGTCATCACCTTTTTTGCATTTAAATCATATACAATTTAATTTCATTTCCTACAACTCATTTAGGCTCAATCTTATTTTAACAATTATATGCTACAATTACATTTATCCATCTATATAGTCTTCCATAAATGAGCAAGACTTTTCCATGTCAAGAGCTATTATAACTAATTTATTTTTTATATATTTGAGATATGTTTATTAGATGATGTATAATAATTACATCTTATATGCATACTTATGATAATTCAAAAATTTTTTAAAGGATTCTCATAACATAGGTTATTAACTATTGATTTGAATTTTTGTAGACATTAACATATTATGAAACTGCAAGACTTAATAAATATTTTTCCAATTGATAAATAAGCTTATACTAATTTAGATTAGATATTTGATAATATCTCTATCTCAAATTATTGGAGAGATGCTCTTTGAAAGTTTTAATTTTCTGAAGCACAGCTAAATCAAATCGATGAAATCGATTATATTTAAATAGAGTAATTTGTAGAATTAATTTTATAAATAGGTCAATATTATTTACCAAATCTGAAATTTTTTAATTTTAATTTTGAGATTTCTAAAATTTAGAGTTATATTTTATTTTTCTATTTCTATTTCTTTCTCTTATTACATAATATTTTGCAATACTTTTTTTGTTTGTGTTGAAAAGGACATATAAATATAGCTTAATTAAAAATGATGAAATTATTGATATTAATAAATCAAAAAATAATCAATATTGCAAGTGCCATGATGAAGAATGCTGAAAGGCATTATTAACATCTGACACCATATTTATCTTCTTTAATCCATCTATACGTGTGATCAGATTGGACATAACAAATAGCACTATCAAACCTATAGTAAGTATCTTCATAAGGTTAGCATTTTTGATTCTTCCAAACACATAACATAATTTGAGGATCTTTGAGATTAACTATCACATTTTTACATGATAATTCATTGGGATAATCTTAACATTAGAATGGAACACATGATGAAAAATAATAACTCCATTAACATGCAGGAGACAAAGATTAACAAATAGGTTGATTATTAACTTTATCACAAGAAGAAATGACTTAACAAACTTAGCTATAAGTGTTCCAATAGCACAAACCATCTGATCCTATTGAACCATAGTGACAAAATTCAATTCCATATTTACTACATGAATCCAAACTCTATGCAGATTAACAAACCCAACCAATTTGAGATTGACATTATAATGATTATGCCATGCAATCTAGAGCAGAGGAACCCTTCAAATCAGTACAATTTGTAAAAGGCACACATGAATTAGCTTGCCACATACATTCATTCTGTTCAGAACAGTGTATTGAATCAAATATTTCTTTGCATTCCGATTTTACACATTGATTATTCTAAATTAGTTTGCATACAGGTTTAGATAAGGTACATTCTATTTCATTTAGATCTGTACAGGAACAAGCATTTTTAGGTTTAATCCTATTTATTGAACATGAAATACATTATCCATTTGATTACCCAGAATTACTCCAATGATAAGTTCCACCAGAAGTTTAGTAACATTGTTGAAATGAATATTATTTAATAAGATATGAGGCAGGGGAACAACTATTGCCATTCCAAACACATATTTCTATATTAGCTCTGTCAATATTCTAATATACAAATGAACAATTTGTTTAAGAATAGGATGCACAAGTCATTTACTCACATTTACCTGTAATGACATTCCATAAACATGCTTTATCAAACAAATAGCATTCACCTTAAACTGTTAATTAAGTACAACTGGTGAGTAATTAACAAGATTAATTTTCATATTTGCAATATCCTTCTTATCCAATTCCATTTGAACATATTTACATAGACTAGATGCTTGAGCAAGTTTATAGATGCTCTCTACTTTGACAAACTCCATTTATAGAAATAGGACATAATGTTGTTTAAGATAAACATTCTAAGGAGTTCTTTCCTCGAAGTTTAGTGCAAAATTCTGGTAATATTGGATTTAGAATAAATTCACAAGAACCTCCTTCTGAGTAATTTGAGTCATAAAGCCAATAGCATTCTGCTTTTTAAACACATTAGAGTTAGCTTTGAGGACAACCACTTTCATTACAAAACCCTTCATTCCAATAGCAATTAGCTAAATTACATTCATATTGAGTTAATATCTGGGCACATAAACATTTATTTTTTGGAACAAGCAATTAATTAAATTGAATACTACAAGGAATGCAATAACCATCCTCATTGTTAGAGCTCCATCTAGCAGTTTAATCTGTATTGAGGAAACATGTTTTTTCTGAAAAAAGATTATCTGCAGCAACACAAGAACCATTTTTCCATGCACATGATTAAACATAATTCCAATTAGTTGGATTTATTGTAAAAGTACATGTTTCTTTATTCGGATAATTTTGACATGTTTACCATTAACATCCATTATTCCAATAACAAATTGATGAGAAAATACATTGTTAATAGCCATAGTTTGAACAATCGATTCCAAAATTACATTAATTTGTATTATAATTCCAATAACATTAAAAATATGGTTTTAAGTAATTAAAGCATTCGTATGGATTATTAATAACTTAACAATTTTGGTTGCTATTTAAAATTGCTGCCTAACACTTTGCACTAGTGGGATTATAAAATGCGCATCTTAGAGTCTAAGCGGCGCATTCATCTGAACTACCAGCTTATAAAGCAATACATGAGGTGAATGTTTAACAAGACCCATTCCACATACATTAAGAATTTTGAAGACATAATTATTAAGTTAATCCAGTGCATGATTATTGTTGACATTGATTACTTTGAGTATTCCATTGGCATTCTACACTTTGCATACAGTTTATTTATGAAATTAATTAAGAGCATGTACATCTATAGGGATTTGGATATATAGGAGCTTAACAAGCCAAACAGATTGTTAAAGTATTACTCCATCTTGCTGTTTATCTAGTATTTGTTGAACAAGTGGCTGAAGTTAATTAGTTCGCATAATTAGTTGCTTAAGCACAAACTGCTTAAATTGGATTCCAATAACATGGAATTGGAGTATAAGAATTTATTGATGAATAGTAATATTAACAAGTTTGTGGATTAGTAAATATTGAACAACTTATAGGTTAACAAATGTTATTACTCCAATAACACTGATTTTAAAATTATAAACAATCATTTTATTAAGTTAATTATGAACATTTGCTCAATACTTGACAGGCTCCATTTTGCCATATACAGAATCCATTATTACCTAATACATGTGTACAAAAACTCTAATCTTGATAAGATGAACATGGACTCATTGTGTTTGTACAATTTGTCCCATTACTTCCTGGGCAATTAACACTTTAAACTATACAATCCGATTGTGATGCACCTATTAAATTACCACAAGATGTAAAATTTACGCATTACCCTTTAGACCAAACACAATTTTTATTAGATGCACAGGATGATTACATCATTATATTTGAACATAAAAGGGGTTAACAAAAATTATTGTCCCACATGCAAGAATTATTTTATTCTGAACAATCAAATTCACTATACAATTAAGAACATTAACATTAATTTGGAAGTTCTAAATATATTTTTATTTGATTTTTAGCCTAGGAACATGAAACACAACTTGAGCCTGTCCATTTAAAAGTATTTAAAGTATTTGAAATACATTGTGAAGCATTCAAGCTATTTGTATCTGTCAAATTCTAACATTTTCCACTGTTCCAAATACAAGGCTAAACATCATTTGTGTACAGGTTTGGAATTGTATAAATACTGTTAATAAAAATTATTAAATTCTATTCAATTTTTAGAATCTTAAATGGACGCACAAGTTAACGATAAGCATTAGTTTTGATACCACATACAGGAATATGCAAATCTATAACATTGTTTTTATTAAGTTATTTGTTCACATGTTTTAACTTGAAAACATTAAGATCCTGACCAATAGCAATATCCAAGCTAGATTAAGCATAGGGCTGGTGTATTTTAGCTCTAACATAAGGTTGAAGTCAAAGCAATACATTATTAAAAAGTGAAATTAAAAAAAGGGCAATTGAATGAGNGTATTATAATTCCAAGAACATTAAAAATATGGAGATTAGTGATCAAAGCATTCTTATGGATTATTAATATCTTAACAAGTTAGATTGTTATTTAAAGTTGCTGCCTAACACTTGTTAGTTTTAGAATTATAATATGGGCATCGTAGAGTCTAAGAGGCGCATTCATCTGAACTACCACCTGATAATGCAGTACATGATGTGAATGTTTAACAAGACCCATTATTCCACATGCATTATGAATTTTGAATACATAATGATTAAGTCAATCCAGTGCATGGTTATTGTTGACAGTGATTACTTTGAGTATTCCATTGGCATTCTAAACTTTACATACAGTTTATTTATGAAATTAATTAAGAACATGCACATCTATAGGGATTTGGGTATTAAGGAGCTTAACAAGTCAAACAGATTTTTAAAGTATTACTCCATCTTGCTGTTTATTTAGTATTTATTGAGCAAGTGGCTGAAGTTAATTAGTTTGCATAAGTTGTTGTTTAAGCGCAAACTACTTAAGCTGAATTCCAATAACATGGAATTGGAGTATAAGAATTGATTGATGAATAGTAGTATTAACATGTTTATGGATTAGTAAATATTGAACAACTTACAGGTTAACAAATATTATTACTCCAATAGCACTACTTTTAAAACTATTAGCAATCATTTTATTATGTTAATTATGAACATTTGCTCAATATTTAACAGGATCCATTTTGCCATATACAGAATCCATTATTACCTAATACATGTGTACATAAACTCTAATTTGAATAAGATGAACATGGACTCATTGTATTTGTACAATTTTTCCCATTACTTCCTGGACAATTAATACTTTAAACTATGCATTCAGATTGAGATGTTCCTATTAAACTACCACAAGATGTAAAATTTACGCATTACCCCCCAGACCAAAGACAATTTTTATTGGATGCACAGTTTGATTATATCACTATATTTGAACATACAAGTTGTTAACAATAATTGTTTTGCCACATGCAAGAACTACTTTATTCTGAGCAATCAAATTCATTATATAATTAAGAACATTAACATTGATTAGGAATTTCTAAATAAAGTTTTGTTTGATTTTTATGCTATGAACATGAAACACAACTTGAGCCTGTCCATTTAAAAGTATGTAAAGTATTTGAAATACATTAAGTAGCATTCAAATTATTTGAATCAGTTAAATTTTAACATTTTCCACTTTGCCAAATACAAGGCTAAACGTCATTTGTGTACAAATTTGGAATTGTATAAATACAGTTTTTAGAATCCTAAATGGATGCACAAGTTAATGATTAGCATCTGTTTTGATACCACATACAGGAATAACCAAATCTATAACATTGTTTTTATGAAGTTATTTATTCACAAGTTTAAACTTGATAACATTAATATCCTGACCAATAGCAATATCCTAGTTACATTAAGCATAAATCTTTTGTAGTTTAGCTCAAACATAAGGAAGAAGACAAACCAGTACATTATGAAGAAGTGAAATTAAAAAAAGGGCAATTGAATGAGCTGCCAAGACACTATTATTAAGTTTGCGCTTTAGGACAATTTGTAAATGATTAACAAGTATTATTCTACCAAATGCATTAAAGATTTTAGATGCAGGATAGTTAATCTTATATCTGATCACAATTCAAAGTATTACATTCTGTATTATTCTACCAATTACAGTAATCTGCTTATTGGCACTATTCACCTAGGTAATTTGAACATTGACATTCATTATTTGGTTGATATTAATTAAATATGTCTTGTTAAGGTATTTTGTACATACATGGGATGCATAACCCAGTACTATTAGAAACTTAAATCCAATAATATGTTTAAAAGGTTTTTTATGAACAATCTTGAGCTTTTAAACTCTTTGCATTTTAATAGGACTAACATTATCCTTATACAAATTGACATGGCATAATTGTTTAAGGATTCAATCCTTCTATTACAAATTTGCATTCTTATTCAAATGTATAATCACTACATTATATTTGTACACATTCATTAGAAAATTTATTCCAAATACAAGTATCTTCCAATTATGAGCATTGATTCTCTTAGAAGTTTGTGCAAGATTATGCTGTCTAACAAGTTGAATTATTCCAATAACATAAGGTTCCTTGAAAACCCATTTATTATAAAGTGCATTAGGTCTAATTAAATTAAGAGCATTTTGGTAAATTATCTAATGATATACAGGTTGTGGAATTTAATTAATTAGAGCATTGAACATTTTACTAAAAACATTCTAAATTTTAAGAAGAATTTAGATTCGAACAAGAACTAAATGATTAACATTAACTTCCATCCCACCAACAGTCTAAAAAATTTAGCTAACAAGTAGTCTAATTATTCAATTATCTGCATCCCAGGCTTTCACATGCATTTGAAGTAGCATTCCATCCACAAGATTAATATTTATTCAAAGTACCACAAGTGTATTGATCAAATTATGAACATTCACACTAATTTGTCACTTGAACTGTCAATTAAGATAAGCATAATGCTCCACAAGCAATAATCACAAATGTTAATATATTTTGTTTCATAAATTAGTGTTTTCATATTTTAATCTAAATGCCATATGAAGTAAATCTTATAGAAATCCAATTCTATAACATTTATTAAAACCATCCATAATTTGATCTGTACTCAAGAAAATACCGCCAACGGAGCTCCTCTGTTTAATATATAGGAAAATTTTTTCAATAATGTCTAAATGTAAGATATTATATTCAATTCTATATTACTTAATACTCTATATAAAAATATTCATTATATTAATTTAATCATCAATGTATATAGTTTATAAAAATTGTTCCCTTAGACTTAAATTTTGCTTATATATATTTAATTTATATTTTGGTAGCTCATCATCAATTTAATCATGATAATATATACTTCATCAAACAAAAACAATATTTCAAATTGGTATATATATATTTAGATGGAAGTAAAATTTTAATAAATAATGATTATAGATTGAATTTGTTGAATAAATTAATTAAAATTTAAAAACAATTAATATACATTTTTATTAACCAAT